ATTTAACATGCCCAAATCTCTTTAAGAAGATCATTTGGGAAATAACCATCAGGTCTTCTTCTAATTATACAATTCTAGTTATTTGAGAGACAAAAAACTCAAATGTCTAAGGGAGCCAGGCAAATAGTATCAATGAATTAAATGGCCCATGTGGAGACAGTGGACAACAGGGGTACACAGCCTTGGTAAAGAGACACTGACTTCCAGCTGATTGTCAGGGGCATAGTAAAGAGGGCGTGGGGCAGTCATAAAGCGCTGGTTGCCAGTCTATGCCCCTTACCTATCCCTTACCCTCCCTTCAAATCCTGTGGGAGAGAGTGCGCAGACATGGTGCATTGTCTCTGGACATTATGTTAGTTTGGGTTCCCACAAAACACACCCCAAGTCAAGGATTCAGTGCTGGGGAGGTACAGGGGACACTAGTGGTGAAATGGAGAAGTACAGCAGGGAAGGGAAGGCAGTCAGTCAAGGGTTAAGTCATTACCAAGCAAGTTACCACAGTGTGAATTAAATCTCAATCCTGCTGAGGAAGTCTGGGAGATGGCGGAGGACATGTGCCTCAGAGCTATTCCATCCGAAGGCAAGGCCTGTGGTTTTTACACACCAACTCCCATCATCCGTGTCTGGGCTGTTCCTGGGAGTGTTGATGTTAATTCCCTGGAATTTCCAGCCTGCTTTGAGCTAGAAAAGCAGATAATGGTGGCCAGGGAAAGAGATGCAGGTGGTGGCATTTGGGGGTGGAGCTAGTGAGCACTGACATAGGAAGTCATGGGTTGGGGACCCACAGTGTCTGCTTCAAGTGCCACTCACCCTCATCACGCCACCTCCGTCACCGCCACGTGGGAATTCAGGCTCTGTTGTCAGATACTTTGTAGGGAAGATAGGAATCTGAAATTTCATAGGAAACCTCCCAATTTTTAAATTGTGGCAATCAATTTATAGTTAAAAAAAAAAAAGACCATAAAGATCACTTGTGTGTGTCCCTTTTCAATAGGTGCACTGGGCTTGATAGGTTTGAATTTCATTCCAGCCAATGAATTTGATAAAAGTTAATCACTCACTGTCTAGTGGCCCCTGAGTATCATCTCTCAAATGCAAGCCCCCAGCCAAGGGCAGATTATGGATGAATTTACTCAACGCTTAATTGCAAGGGTGGGGTGGGGACTGCCCTCTCCCTTACTTCTGATGGTTTTACACAAATTACTTCATGTAATTCTTGCAACCACTCTGTGACATGCTATTTATTTCCCCCTTCAAACCCCAAACACCACATTCCCCTTGCTTAAGACAAATTAGTAATTCACTAGATATTATGTCTGCCATGGAAAAATAGTGAATGATTAACTTTCAGTTGATAGTAAATAATTTCCCTTCAGATCTTTGAAGAGGCTAAAAAGAATTTATCCTTTTAAATCTGAACAATTTCACTGTCTTTATTTATTTATTTATTTAGAAAATAGAGGCCCGGTGCACGAAATTCATGCACTGGAGGGGGGGTGTCCCTCAGCCCAGCCTGTACCCTCTCTAATCTGGGACCCCTTGAGGGATGTCTGATTGCCCATTTAGGCCCGATCCTTGTGGGGGCAGGCAGACATCCCTCTCAAAATCCAGGACTGCTGGCTCCCAACCGCTTGCCTGCCTGCCTGCTTGATTGTCCCTAACCGCTTCTTACTACCAGCCTGATCACCCCCTAAACACTCCCCTGCAAGCCTGATCGATGCTTAACTTCTCCTCTGCCTGCCTGATTGCCCCTAACTGCCCTTCCCTGCAGGCTTGGTCACCCCTAACTGCCCTCCCCTGCAAGCCTGGTCCCCCCCAACTGCCCCCCCCTTCTGGCCTGGTCACTCCCGACTGCCTTCCCCTGCAGGCTTGGTCACCCCTAACTTTCCTCCCCTGCAGGCCTGGTTACCCCCTACTTCCCTCCCCTGCTGGCCCGGTTGCCCACAACTGCCCTCCCCTGCAGGCCATCTTATGGCCACATGGGGGCGGCCATCTTTGACCACATGGGGGTGGTCATCTTGTGTTTGGAGCGATGGTCAATTTGCATATTGCCTCCTTATTATATAGGATCATTAGAAGGTAGCAAAGAAATGTGCACTCAACCCTCCCTAATGTTAGTATCTTATACAACTACTAGAGGCCTGATGCATGAAATTCGTGCAAAAGTAGGCCTTCCTTCCCCCGGCTGTCAGCACCGGATTCCCTCTGGCACCCGGGACCCGGGTTTCCCTCGCAGCCCTGGCTTCGTCTGGAAGGTCATCCGGAAGGACATCCAGTCTAATTAGCATATTATGCTTTTATTATTATAGATAGCTCAATATCAACACCAAGAAATTGATGTTGGTACAGTCCCTAGAGCTTATTCAGATTTCATCAATCATATCTGCACTCATGAGTGTATGTAGTATATGTATGTGTTTATATATTCCGTAATTTTATTACATTGTATCCTTGCATAATCATGACTACAATCAAGTATCCAACTGTACCAAAACCATAAGACTCCCTGGTGCGGCCCCTGTAGAGTCACATACTCCTAATCCCTAAACCCTGGCAACTGCTAATTTGATGTACATTTCTATAATTACGTTATTTCACGAAGGTTACATAAATGAAATTAAGCAGTGTGTATCCTTTAGATTGGTTTTTTTTTCCCACTCAGCATAATTTCCTTGAGGTTCATCAAGTATCCATTTACTCATTCATTTTTTTTTTTTTGCTGAGTGGTATTCTATAGTAGAGATATACTACAGTCTGTTTAACCATTCACTCTTTCAAGGACATTTGGGCAGTTTCTTGGTGGGGGTTATTTTGAATAAAAATGCTGTAAACATTTGTGTGCAAGTTTATGTGAAGAAATAAGTTTACATTGCTCTGAAGTGTATGTCACATGACAAGTCCACTGTTAGTTTTGAAAGGTAATGCCTCATGTTTTTGAGAGTGGCTGTACCATTTTACATTCCCACCAGCCATGTATAAGTAAGCGGGGTTATCACTATTTTTATTTTAGCCATTTTGATAAATGTGTAGTGGTATCTTCTAGTTTTAATTTGCATTTCTCTAAGGGCTAATGGCATTGAACAGCTCCCAACCCTTACATCTAGGCTTGACTGTGTGACTTACTCTGACTAAAGAGACATTAGCAAACATGATGCAAGTGGAGGGTTCAAACTCGTGTGTGCTTTGGGGCCTGGCTGTCTTGCTGCTCTTGGAAACCTTGCCACAGGCAGCACATGAATAGGCCTGGCCTAGTCTACTGGGAGACGAGTGATGCCAAGCCGTTACCTCCACTGCCCTGGCTGAGTACCAGCCAAGTGCCAGGCAAATGAGTGAGGCCGTCAACTGCAGACTGATCACAAATAAAAAGTGAGCTCAGCTGATGCCACTTTTGGTGCAGAGATGAGCTGTCCCAGCTGAGGTCAGCTCATAGGCTGACTTGGAATTATGAGCAAATATATAGTTGTTGTTTTAGGCCACTAAACTGTAGAGTAATTTGTTATGTACCAAAAGCTGACTGCTATATACTCTCTTTAACAATTTTTTTTAGTTAAAGCAATGAAAAAGCAGAATTTTAAACTGCCCATTAAACATAATCCAAAGTTTGCAACTATATATACATTTCTGTGTGTGTATACACACACACACACATTATTACAACTGTTCATTTGGAAAATAATACAATAATTAATAAGTAATACAAGAATAAACTGTTTCACATACAACTGTAATATATATATTTTATTCGTATATATGAATAAAATTCATATATATATTTATATATATAAGAATTTTCTGCAATAAAATTGACAATCTTTTTACAAGAAAAGCCAAAGTGCTTGGGCATTTTCTTCTGGCTGCCCTCTGACCATTCATGGGCAAATTCTCATGTGACATGAATGTTTTTCACATGGCTGAGCTTGTTGGGTTGTAACAGACAGGTCATTAAGGGACAGCTGGCTGCATTCATCCCAGAACTATTACCTCTGGTGGAAGTTTCAGGGAGGTTAAAAGGACCTAAATAGTGAAAATCTACACTTCAAAACTCTTTCATTTTAGCCTTCATTGGAATATCAACTCATTCTTTTCTTGGCTGTGGAATTCTGTGTTCATTTGTACCATGGTGAGCTGATGAGTTTCACTAGCATCCCTTGAGTAGGTTGCAGTGATGAGAAATGCAGAAATCTGGGGCTGGAGAGATGCTAGTGTGATGAATTATCTTCCATGTTTCCTTCTAGATCTATTCTCCTACCTTCTCTGAGCCCTGGGAGGCCAACCTGTGTTGACTGCATGGATGACCTCTGATTTGCTTTTGCCAATAGGTAGCACCAACAGGAGACTGAACATTAGGAACAGAGGGAGGTTGGGGTCCTTATACACCAGCTCTCATCCTGCAGGTTCCCTGTGGTCTGGCTTCCACCGAAGATCAGACTCCTGCCATGCATCCCTCTTCACAGAACAACCTCTATTTCCAGGTTCTAGTAACCAGTTCCCACCTCACCCCTTCCCATAAGAGTGGAGCTCCATTCTTGAGCACCACACTAATCCTCATGCGCTTTTCTCATCCCTCACTTTTCTGCATCTGCCCACACCTTATCAAACGCTCCTCAAATTGTCCACTGCAGTTTGACATCTGTTTCTTGCAGGAATTCTGATGGATACTGCAGACACGCATAGTCACGAAATAGGGTGGACAAAGCCCTAGAAAAGGTCTCCACCAACAAAAACAGGAGCATGGCAAAAAAAAATTTCTATAGTTTTTATTACTGCCTACACTCATTGTTAAGGTGAAAAATTATCCATCAAATTCAAGTCACAGGTAATTCTGACTAACAAGATGACACAGAGGATGGTAATTTCCTTTTTGTAAGCCTTCTGGGAAGGGCAGTGGGCGACTTGTGACTAAAAAATTAGTGTTATAAGAAGTCTTCATAGGAGAACAATACCTAAGACAGACAAAGTGACAAGGCAAAGCATGGAGGGGCCAAACAGGAAGATCTTACCCGTCCATCGCTTGTCAGGAGGATGGAGTCACTCTTTATGTCCCTGTGAATCACTCCTTGGTTGTGAAGGTAGGAGAGAGCTCTCAGAACCGACAGACACACAGTAGCTATCTGTTCTTCATTCATTCTAGAAAGGAAACAACATTTAAGGAACAAGGACAGATTTAAGAACATCCTTGACATGATCAAAAGAGGCAGCTCTCTTGAGTTCTAGTGAATCAGCCCATGCCTGGAAAACCTATAGGCAAAGAAAAGGAAGTCGTTGGCATCTGATTTGCAGAACCTAAGGCTGGGTACCAGGATGTCAGGGGCCAAATATAAGCCAAGGGCAAGAGACCCCCATTTGCTGGCTTCTGGGTCATTACTGCAAATGCACTACCTTGGACACCTCTAGGTAATTCCTTAGGTATTGCCAAACCTCCTGGGTCCTGCAGAGGGAGTGCACTGAATAGCACCAAGGTTCCAGGTGTATCTGCTAGGTGACCTTGAGCAAGTCCTTTACTTCCTCGGGTCTCTTTTTACTTACCTTGGAAATGGGAACAACCATGGTTCTCACCAAGGCTGGACTCAGGCAAAGTGGCCTTTGGGTCTCTGAGACTCACCCTGCCTCTCACTAGCCCTCCCTCATCTTCCTCCGGGAACTGGAGGTTTCTTATGCTCCAGGTCCTTCTGTCAAGGACATTGGACCTGCTAAGTTACTAATAACTGAGTGTGAATGGATGATCCTGTAATAGACGGGCCATGGGAATGAGAAAGGCAAATACAGCACTGGACCTGTGCTCCCACATATCATGGCTGCCCCCCTCTGAAGAAGGCGTCTGGTTTCAGAGGAGTTGCACAGGTGCTATGAGGTAGCTATTTCTAACCTGGGACTTCCTTGACAGAATGTATCTGAGCTTTTTCATTTGATACAAAATAGGGATTGAAAAGAACCTTGACCAAGGGAGAACTCTAGAGACATGGATCACCATCGGACGATCCCTAGGGCAAGAAAGAAAGCCTCTCTTTTAGATATATTTTTTATTAATCCTATTTAATAAAAGCCTAATATGCTAAGTGTCCAGTTGTTTGGTCAGCTATTCAATCAATCAAAACGTAATATGCTAATGAAGTGCTAAGGCCGCTCAACTGCTTGCTATGACCTGCACTAACCACCAGGGGCAGTCAACTGGTTGATCCGTCGCTATGATGTGCACTGACTATCAGGGGGCAGACGCTCTGACCAGTAGGTTAGCTTGCTGCTGGGGTCCAGCCATCGGGACTGAGCAAGATGGACCAGACACACCCTGGAGCCCTCCCACGGTCCCTCCCTGGCTGGCCAACCTCCCATGTCCCTCCCCGGCCCTGATTGTGAACTGATGCACTGATGGGGTCCCTTTGCCTGGCATGTCCCCTCTTGAAATCTGGGCTGATGGACCCCTTCCCTCACCCCCCCTACACTAATTTTGTGCACTGGGCCTCTAGTTGTTTTATATGTAAGTCACATTTGTCTTGTTCTTAGGTCACTTCAGTATATTTGTTTCTGCAAATTAAGATGATCTTATGTATTTTGCGGGTGGGCATGTCAATGGCTATACTGCAGAGTCCGCCCACTGAAATGTTGGTGGAAAAGCTTCAGTGTCCTTTGGTTTTGAGATGGTCTACTGCAGCCAGAGAACTGCAGACATCATGATCGAAATTTTGCCTCATTTTAATGGAGAAACCGTAGCATATATTTTCTTCACAGGGTTTCCCAATGCTTGTTTGCATTCCCCTATTGTTTTCATCTGGATTCACTAATGATTTGGGTGCCATTTCAGTGAAATTAGCTTATATCCAATGCCTCTCCTTCATGACTATCCTCTTAACTCTTTGGCACTTTACTTACCAGCAAGACTAAACTTAAAGTTTCCCAAATGTAACATTTTTTATCTGTTCCTTAGAACATTGCTTCTCCAAATGTGGTCCATGAATGAACAGCTTGGGCATCGCCTGGGAGCTTTATAGAATGCAGAGCATTCCTTCTCTCCACACTGAATCAGGGTCTGTCTTTTAGTAAGATCCACAGGTGGTTTGCATATTAAAATTTGAGAAGCACTGCCTTAGCATATACTCTTTCCTCTGACTCCAATGTCCTTTTTCTCCCACTTTCTGTCTAAGTGAACTATTTATCTCTCAAAACCCATCTCAGATATCCCCCCCTTTTTTGTTTTTGTTTTTTTTAGTCCCTCATAGAGACATTCAGGAATTCTTCTATGCTGTCTACATACATATTTCTAATTCTGCACAGGTAGTAAAGTATTTGTTTCTAATCTGTGACTTCTTTGAGGGAATGGTTCTCAGCCTTATTTGTGTCTTTTGTATACCAGCATATCGGAAACAGCCCGATACATTAAAATAATGGATAAAAACTTGATGAAATGACCACAACTGTCATATCAGTGAAGTACATAGCAGGTAATTACAATGGTAATTAACTACTTGCAAGACTCGAAGAATTTTTCTGTGTTATATAGGTTTGCTATTATGACATAAAACTTTGATCTCCCACCTCCCCTTCCTTCTCCAGGTATGCTTGGTGTATCAACACCTAGCAATGGCATGGCAACTCAGGAGAATGGAACTTAGTTTTAGATATCTATGTAGAAATGGAAAATTCTACTATTAGTCACCAAAACTTCATTCTCAGCAGCTTGGTGATTTTAAAAATCAATGGGTATTAATGAACTTCTGGAGGGAAAGGAGAGTGTTAATTGAATGAATGAACTATATATACAGGATATTATAATAGGCACCTGGGGAATATAGAGGAAGAGGGAAGTCATGACCTTGATTTCAAAGTGCTTAAAATTTATGAAGAGTTCATAGGATAATCATTGTGGCTTCACCCTGGAGGAGAATAACAAATATCTTGCATTGCTTGCCTGGATAATAATAATAATAATAATAATAATAATAATAAACTTACCTGGTATGAGTGACAATGTCTGTCAAGGCACCACCTTCTAGAAACTCCATGACCACCCAGAGCTCGTCACTGACAAGATAGCTGTTGTACATGTCAACCACATTGTCATGGTGGTAATCCCGCATTATCACAACCTGGGCAAATGGAAAGAGACTTTTTGACTTGTGGCAGTGAAATGTGGCTTCCTGTTCGCTTGGGGTGACATTTGTGCTGTGAGTACAATAGATTGAGAGTTGCTATTAGAAATAAAGGCAATCAAGTCAGCAAATTTAGAGAAAATGGTAAGTCAACCAGGCATTGGTGGGGGGTTGGGGAGAATGAGTGAGAATAGGCAGAACCAGGACAAAGGTTGCATCCACAGAGGGGGCTTAGCTGCCTGTTCTGGGGGGATGTGGTAAGATATCCCTAAGGATCTCCTTTGGAAGGCACCATCCATATTCTATGGTTGGTTAACCTGGTAAAGTATCACTAACTCATGGCTAAGTGAGTAAATGGTGAGTCTCACAAGTGAATGAAGTAAACAGTTACTAGGGGGGGGCCACGTGATAACAACTTAAAAAAATTTTTTTAATATATTTTTATTGATTTCAGAGAGGAAGGGAGAGAGAGGAATATCAATGATGAGAAGCATTGATTGGCTGTCTCTTGCATGTCCCCTACTGGGGATTGAGCCCACAACCTCAGCATGTGCCCTGACTGGGAATCACGACCTCTTGGTTCATAGGTCCACACTCAACCACTGAGCCACACCGGCTGGGCCAAACTTCACTTTTTGGGAGAAGGTCTGGGTTGAATTTGAGATAGGTTTGGGCTGAATATAGAGGATGGATCTTGAAGGTAAAAACAAATATGGCCCAGGCATCAAAAGGCTAACTAGAGTCTGTTTGCTGGAGAAAGCTTCCAGGAATTGGTGCCCTGTGGCTGCTTCTGGTGACATTTTTGAAATTAGCATTGAATAATGAATTATAGAGTTGTTTATATGAAATTATATTTGCCCTGTCTGTTCCGGCATTGCAAGAAATACATTGCAAAAATCAGGAATTGTGGACTGGGAAGAAGGTGAAGCCGACTCACCTGATGCTGTCTGCGAGGTTCAGAGCATGGGAAGGAAATGAACACCTTGGGAGCTGGAGATCTGTGGGGCGCTGGTGGCTTCACATGAGCCACCACTGAAGACTCCAAAGTCGCAGCTGATTGCATGTTTACAGTGTCTGTTTATTGTTCTGAGAGCTATATGTAGGTGGTACATTCTTTGCTAAAGACTGACATGTTATCTAACATTGGAATCCTGACTTGATATCTTTAAGACTTAGATTTCTCATCTACAAAAGCTCATCTCTCTCTTCAAGACCCCCTATAAAATCTTTAAACACTCCAAAATGTTTTGTCCCTGGACACAAGTGCTCATTTTTCCTTCCTATGTACATTTGGGAGCTCTCAAGTGATAAGCAAGTTTAAAAGATAAAATAAGAAAGTGAAAAAATAGGTGCAACAAATAGATAGAAAGGGTTAATTTCTTAATGTATCAAGATTTCTTACAAATCAATAGGACAAGTGCTACCACTCTAATTGAAAATGGTGCAAAGGCCATACAAGTCAATATAAAAATATAAATATGAACTGTAAACATTTAAAAACAGATTCAGCTTCACTAGTAATAACATGTTAATTAAAGCAGTAAGATTTATACATGTCTATCAGATTAACAGAGAACAAGAAAGCATCCAATGCTAGTGAGGGTAAAACAGGATTATTGGTGAGGTCCAAATTGGTACAAACTCTCTGGAAATTATATACCATTTCTCTAAGTAGAAAAAATATAGAAAGAAAATACTAAAATATTAGCATGGAATATTTATTGGTTGTAGAATTATGAGGCTTTTAAAAATATATTTTCTGTATATTCTACAGGAAAAAATCATTATCTCTACAGTTAGGAAAAAACATTTTAAAGTTCCTAAAGAGTGATAGTTAGTCCATTGTTAAACTCACCTTTGTTTATTGTGATGTAAAAAAAATTGGCTACAAAGGATATGGAATGTAAAATATACACTGAGTGGCCAGATTATTATGACCACCCCATCAGTACTTCATTAACACTTGCAAAATTACTGAATATTGAAAACTTCTTAAGCAAATACTCTCAAGGTTTTATTATTATTATTATTATTATTATTTGCATAACTAATTCACTTCATCGTACTGATGAGGTTGGCCACTCAGTGTATATCTACCTACATAGAGTAGCATGAGGCTTTAGAATCTGACATTAACCTGCTGTATGACTGTGGGCTAGCTATTTAACTAATGCGAGTCCAGATTTCCTTGTTGCTATGGTGATGACATCTTTCTGTTTCACAGAGTTGGAAGAATCACACCAGATCAATGCTTGGCACAGTGGCTTATACACATGAAGTACCTCCTAAAGGTAGCAGCCATACGTGCATAGAAAGAGACCAGAGGGAAGGATTATGGGGGACGTTATTATTTTAGTTTATATTTTCACTGTTTTCTAATGTCCTAACATGTACATGTACTATTTTTGAAATGGGAAATAAGTGTTATGTAAATGAGAAAGGATGATCTGGACATGCCATCTACCTCATTAAAAAGCAGCTCTCGCCTCTGCTGCTTTCGAAGGTCCATTTTCTTCACTGCAACTTGTTTCCCTGTGTGTTTCTCGGTGGCGATGCACACGATGCCGGTCGACCCTTCCCCGATTTTGATAAAGTTGTCCAAGTACTCCCTGGGGTCTCCTGGGCTGACCACCAGCTGCAGGGCAGCCCGAAACTGTTCGTGGGACACCCTAGAGGGCTGCTGGTCTGAGGAGGAGCCCCAGCTGGGTGGGGGGTAGGTGCTGGATGAGATGCTGAGAGAGCTCAGGTAAGAAGCGGTGGAGATGTACTGTGAGCTGGTCTGTAGGGAGGGGTGGTGGTACAGGGTGGCTTTGTGGTACCCAGATGGGTACTGGTGGCTGCTTGAGGAATAGCCCGCTTTGCTTTGACTTTGAGGTAGTTTGGCGGGGCCCCTGGGGTAGGTGTCGGACCCTGACAGTGGAGGGCTGAGAACCATCTGTGCTCGATCGTAATCCACCTGGGGAGACAGACAGGGATGGAGAATATCCGCCTGTTACATCTGAACACCACAACCAGTTGGTTAGGGAGCTAACACACGGCTGGTCTGAATGAAGAGCGCCACTGCACACCTGGTCATGGGTGAGATTTACCTTTCAAGGCCCTGGTCATCCCAGCTCCCACCTTTATCTGACCTCCAATCTCCTTATCCAGCCTCTTTCTTTCCCTTTCCCTATCAAACTCCCCGGAAGCCGACTCTGAGGACTGGATTTGAATGCAAGTAGCGAGTGGGACATGATCTCTGGAGTTATGAAGTGAGACAGGAGAGAGGAAAATACCAATAAAAGATGAATGTTTATAACCAAGTTTTATAAAAAGTATGATGGTTAATTTTATGTTTGAGCTTGGCTAGGCTATAGTACCCAGCTGCTTGGTCAAACACCAGCCTCGATATTACAGTAAAGGTAATCTAAGATGTGATTAACATTTAAATCAGTAGACTGAGTAAAACAGATTACTCTCCTTAAGTGGATGGGCTGCATCTGATCAACTGAAGGCTTTAAGAGAAAAGGTTGAGGTCACCCAAAGAGGAGGGATTTTTTTATCTAGATGGCCCTTGGACCCAAAACTACATCAATTCCCACCAGTATTTCTAGCCTGCCAACCAGTCAACAAGATAGACTTTTCAGCCCCCACAATAACATAAACCAATCCCTTAAAATCTCTCTCTCTGTACACACACACACACACACACACACACACCTTCCTGAATTCCCATACTAAAGGGTACTATATACTATTCACATACATAACCTAGCATGTATATAAAAGGGAAAACATGGCTCCTTACTGAAAGCTTTTATATTGTAGTCTCCCCTCACATTCCAAGGATACATGCCTAAAGCCCTGGAGAGTACAGAACACAACATTTACTGTTTTCTCCTACACATACATACCATTTTACTTAAAAAAAAAACATTTTACAGCTTCTCTTTGGTATATTCAAACTGCAGCATCACTACTCTTGCACTTTGGGTTCCTTATTAAGTAAAGTAAAGGTTACTTGAACATAAGTACTGTGATATTGAGACAGTTGATCTGATAACCAGGACAGCTACTATAAGTGACTAATGGGAGTGGTGGAATATACAGCCTGGAGACACTGGACAGAGAGATGATTCATGTCCCTGGTGGGACAGAGTGGGATGGCATGAGATTTCATCATACTGCTCAGAATAGTGTTCAATTTAAAACTTGTAAGTTGTTTACCTCTGGAATTTTCCATTAAATATTTTCAGGCAGCGGTTGACAACTGAAACCACAGAAAGTAAAACCATGGATAAGGGAGGCTAGTGTATAACATTAAGCTAAACATATGCAATGTTCTCACTAAATAAGTACAATAGAGTTGAGAATAACCAAGGTTTGCAGGGAGTTGTGCGTGAAAGAGAAATTTGGTCAGCCCTCAAAGAGACACGAGCAAAGAACATTCCAGTCTGATTTGAAGAGTGGATTAAGGGAATTTGCAGGAGAATGGGGAGGACAGGCACAGCAGGGCTAGGGAAAGCCAGAGAGAGGCTTGTCTGACACTAAGTATAGGTTCCAGCAATCACCCTGTTTCAGGGATCAGAAGGAGCTCTAGTCACCCCTGGAGTGATTGAGATGAGGGATGGGAAATATACCACATCATACTGCGATCACCTCATTGCTCAGGGAAGAAAGTGCTATTGATCAATGAACTCTTTCTGTAAGATCCTGGTGACAACACAGTGCCAGATACATAGAAGATGCTCAAAGGTTTATTGATGGGACCTCAGGCTCCTTCTTAACACAGTGCCTCAGAAAGTCTCCACCACTCTACTGGGATGTACATGGGATAACATTTACATACCTCCTCACCCCATCCACCCCAAATATCTAGGTCTACTTTAATATGGTGTCTACTGACCACATATGGCTATTTAATTGAAATCAATATAAATGAAATGAAATTAAGATAAAACTTCAATTCCTTAGTCATATTAGCTACATTTTAAGCATTTTTTAACAGTTACTGCATCAGCAGCATAGGTAGAGATTTCCATCACTGCAGGAAGTTCTATTGGGTGGCACTCTTCTAGATGGATTAATTGCTCCCAGTCAGTACATTCATTGATTCATTTATTCCAGCAACTATGATGTGCAGGCATTATTGCAGGTACATTGAGAAGGTCCAGTTATAATAAAAATGCATGGTATTCCTGCTCTCCTGGAGCTTATATTCTAGAGAAGGAGACAGACGATAAATAAGTAAACCAATACATAGACAGTATGTGGTCCAGTAGTGATAAGTGATATAAGGAAAAATAAAGCAGAGTGAAGGGGTTGAGAGGAACAAGGTGCCATATTGGACAGGAAAGTGCTTTCTGCTCTGAGGGGGTGCCATTCAAGCAGAAACTGGTTGAAGTGAAGGAACAAGCCCCATGAATGTGTGGGGAGGGCGCGATCCAGCCAGAAGGAGGAGCACAAGTAGGATCTCTGAGGCACATATAGTCTTGAGGAACAACATGGAGGCTCTCCTGGAGTGGAGAGGGAGACAGTTTGGAAGAATGAACAGAGAAGTAGCCAAGAGCCAGAAGACCATGGAAAGGATGCTGGCCAATTTTCTGAGCTAGGTGGGAGCCACTGGAGGTTGCAGAGCAGAGAGGAGCAACATGATCTTGACTCCGGATGCTGGAGAAGAGACTTTGGTGGTAGGAGTGGAAACAAGGATAGCAATTGACTGCAGTAAGCTAGTCAATGTGGGCTGAGATTAAGGTGGGTTCTATAGAAGGGGTGAAGAGAGGTGGGATCCAGGGTAGGTCTGAAGATAGAGCTGACAGGAGTTGCTATGGATTGAATTAGAATCTGAAAGAAAAGAATTAGAGATGACTCCCAGGACTTTGGCCTGAACAACAAACAGTCCATTTAATGATTTGAGAAGCACAGGAACAGGAGTAGGTTTGGGGGTGTGGTAATCAGTCTCCATGGTGGCTCCCAATGTCCCCTGTCTCCTGACATTTATATCCTGGTATCATCCCAGAATATGATGGGAATGATAGTAAGTGCCTTCTGAGGCCAAAAAAATCACATGGTTTCTTGACCTTTTCTCTTGGGTCACTTGCTCTGGCTTTCTCTAGCTGGCATGTCATGAGAACACTCAAGAATCCTATAGAGAGGTCTAAGTGGCAAAGTCTCCTGCCAAGAACCAGGTAGACTGAGGCCCCCTGCCAGCAGCCATGTGAGTCATCTTGGAAGTGATGCTCCAGCTCCAGTCAATCCTCAGGTGACTGCAGCCCTGGTTGACATCTTGATTTCAACCTCAGGACAAAATCACCCAGCTAACCTAGCCATGGTGACCTGGTGCACAAAGAGTATGTGAAATAAGAAGAGCTTATTGTTGCTTTAAGCCATTACATTTGGGGATAGTTTGTTACACAGCAATAGATACCTAATACATGGAGGGAAACAGAGTTCTGTTAGGATCATGTTAAGTTTGAGAGAGTTATTAAGTAAGCATCTATGTGGAGATGTCACTTAGGTGATTTAGACATGCCTGAGTCCAGAAAAGCGTTGCCACTAAAGACATGAATCTGATCAGTATTTAGTTGGCATTACAAGCCATGATGTTGAATGTGTAAGAGAAGGTCCAAGGACTCCAACGTTTAGAGATCAGAAAGATCAGGAGAAGGATTGTGCTCGTGACATAGGAAAGAAAGTAAGGGATTAGGGTGCCCTGGAGCAAGGGAGGGAAGTATTTTGAGAAGAAAAGAGTAATGAAGCATGTTGACTGCTACTGAGAAGTCAAGTAGACTGGGGCATGTTGCTCACTGGATCTGGTAGCATGCTGGTCATCTGGAGAAAGGCTGATGTCCCAAGCTCCTGTGCCATCACACAGCATGACTAGAAGCCTATTCCACAAATCAGGGAGCAAGATCTGCACACAGTGGGATCCTTAAAATTGCTACCATGGCCTGGCTGGCATGGCTCAGGGTTTAAGCGTCAACCTGTGAACCAGGAAGTCACAGCTCAATTCCTGGTCAGGGCACATGCCCAGGTTGCAGGCTCGATCCCCAGTCTGGGGTGTGTAGGAGGCAGGCAATCAATGACTCTCTCTCATCATTGATGTTTCTATATCTCTCTCCCTCTCCTTTCTTCTCTGAAACCAATAAAAATATATTTTAAAAAATTGCTACCATGGCACCATTCTCAGTTCTCCTGTTCATGACCCCACACGACAGTACCGCCCTGATGCACAGCTGGCAGTGCAGCCTTCCCGGCCTGGAGAACACCCTCGCAGGTGAGTCCCGCTCTCAGACAGCCTCCCACCCAGCAGCAGCGACCAGGGAGCTGCTAAGCCATGTCCTGTCCTGACTGCAGAGCAGAGAGAACACATGCTTTTAAGGGACATACATGTTAGGGCTGAATTCTGACTCGGACGGCTTTAGTCAAATCACTTAGCCTCTCTGAGCCTCAGTTTCCTCATTTGTAAAATGGGGATCATAATATCTCCCTCACAGGGCTTTTATGAGGCTTAACTGGGGCAACCTAGAGCATCCGAGTATTTAAGAAAACACACCCTGGGCTCGAAATCTTTTATCTGCCATTTAGAAGTTGTGTGACATTATGCAAGTTATTTAAATTCCCTGTACTTCAGTTTTCTCATCTGTAAGATGGTAGTAATAAGAAAAATTCCTACTTCCGTAGGTCACTGTGAACTCTGAAGTATTGAATACACATCAATATATTCTAGGTGGTGGTATTATATAAAGTGCTCAGCACAGCAGTGGGAATGAAAGAAAAAGTAAATAGTAATTACAATATTAATAAAATAGCTAGCACTTATTGAAGCTGTACAAGGTACTAGTGATATATATTCTTATACATTAACTCTCAAAACAATTACAGAGGTTCCTTTAATTACAATATATGAAATATTGTATTATAATTAAAATGCTATATTCAAAAGCAAGCTGATTTTTTTCTAAGTCCCTGGATTTG